CTTTTCCACTTTCTCTCCAGCTGCTTTTGGGGAGGGGTGCTTTTCCCGTATTCTCCTCCCCTGTCTCCGTCCTCTCTCCGCAAGCAAAAACAGCTCCCTGCCCTCCACAGCTTCTCTCTCCCCCAGTTCACCTCTCCGCACCATGTACCTGCTGAGTTCTGTGGTTCAGGTTGTGCAGATTGTTATGTTAATCCTCAGATCAGTTTTCTAGGTGTGCAGGATGGTTTAGTCTTGGTCTGGCTATATTTCATGGACGCGAGACGCAAAAACAAACAAACAAAAAAAACCCAACTTCCATGCTGTTCTGCCATCTTCTCCAGCGTTTTCACTTCTGTTGTGGTTGTTGAGAAGTCAGCTCACGTTCTGTCATCCCTTTGGAGATGATTTGTCCTTTCTCTCCCACTGCGTTCAACATCTCTCTGTGTCTGGCATTCTGTGGTTCCAATAAAATGTCTGTAACCCTTACGTTTCTTTTTGTTTATTATGCTTGAGATACTTTGAGCTTCCTGGTTCTGTGGATCTGTTTTTCACTGCTTCTGGAAAATGTACAGCCATTAATGTCTTCAAATGCTGCTTTTCCTCCATTCCCTTTTTTCTTCTACTTGTGGGGCTCCAGCATATAAGATCTTCTCATTCAATTCTCTGTATCTCTTAATCTCTCATTCATATTATCCACCTCCTGAATTCATTATGTGCAACTTCTGGTCCACAAATTCTCTACTCAACTGTTTACCATTGATTAAATTTTTGATTTTGAAATTATGTCTTTCACTCCTGGAATTTCCATATGTTCTTCCCCCAAATCTCTCTCTCTTCACCCTTCTTTGTTTATATGTTCATCTTTTCTTTTTTTTAATGTTTATTTGTTTTTGAGAGAGAGACAGACAGAGCATGAGCAGGGGAGGGGCAGAGAGAGAAGGAGACACAGACTCCGAAGCAGGCTCCAGGCTCCTAGTTGTCAGCACAGAGCCCGACGTGGGGTTCAAAGTCATAAACTGTGAGATGGTGACCTGAGCCGAAGTCAGATGCTTAACCTCCTCTGTGTAACTATTTTTTAAACATGTCATACGTGGCTACTCTGTATTCTGACCCTGGGGGACTCGTGTGGTGCTTCCTGTCTCTGCTGTCACTCATGGTAACTTGTCTTCTTGTGACTTGGTAAGGTTTGTATTTAAGCTCATCAGCAAGTCTTACTCTGCAGGGGTCCTCCTGGCCCACCTGAGGGAAGCTTTCCTCTGCCGTGAGTTTACTTCTGCTCCTGCCAAGAGCCGAGGGCTTCCCAACGTGGGACCACCTCACCAGCCCCCCTTTAGAGTTTTTCGTCACAACAGATACAAGTTCCCATCTTCCCCATCCCTAGATCCAAAGATCACTGTCACCATGTGGCAAAACCTCTAGAGGACTTTGGCCTTGGGGCTCCCCAGGCAACCAGCCAATCAGGCCAGCTCTCTGACTCTCTCCTACCCACCCCAGCACCTCTGGATTCATTCTCCAACCCCCTCTGCTGAAACCCGAGCCCCCGGCCTCTGTATCCCCTCTCCCTCCTTTATTTTTCTAATCGCATGAGTTCCCACTAATGATATCCTATTTGTTTGTTAAATGGCTTATTATATGCCACCGTCAGCAACCTGCACAGTGTCTGGATTGTGCCTCACAATTACGTGATGGACATATAATAAATGAAGGAGTGAATGAGGCATAGTACCTGTCCCCCAACTGCTCTCAATCTGGAAGCTGAGACAGACCAGGAGACAGAGAAATAACTACTGCTAAGGGGAGAGAGCAGGGGCCGTGGAGGCGAGAGAAGACCCCACCCTAGATGCTGGAGGGCAGGGCCAGCTTCCTAGTCCAGACTCCAGGAGGTCAGGGGAGGGTGCAAAGCGGAGATCTCAGGGTTGGACTCTCATCTTTCCACAAATGAAAGCACTGAGGGACAGTGTTCTGGGAAAAGAGAACAGCTTGTGCCGAGGCCTGGCAGTGAGAAAGAACCTGTTCGAGGAACTGAAAGGAGTTGAGTGTGGCAGCTGCTAGGAGGATGAGGAAGGAGTGGTGGGTGATGGGCTGGAGAAGAGGGCAAGGGGCAGACCCCCAGGGCCTTTGGAGCTCCTGTGAGGAGTTTGTCAAAAAGGAGGAACAGAGTATAGAAGGGCGTGATCAGGCTGAAGGGTGGAAATTCCCTCTGGCTTCTGAGTGAAGGGAGGATGGGAATGAGGAGACAGGGAGGCCGGGGAGGAGGCTCTGCAGGGATGGAGGCTGGGCCAAGGTTGATAGCGGGGGAGGGGTGCAGCAGAAGGCCGGCTCCTTGAGTGCCCTCTCGGCGACCTTGGCAGGTAAGGGGAGCACCGAGGAGAAGCCTGGCTGAGTCAGCCCGAGTGTGCGGGGTTTGTTCAGTGGGCAGAGGGGCTCCCCAGTCAGCACATCTGGGGTACGGTTGAAGGGTAAAGAGTGCATACCCTGCACTCCCAAGCCGATGCTCCTTTGTAATAGGGTTGCCAGACAGCCAAAGAAAGGGGGAGCATGATAGACAGACAGTTACAGGATTCGCAGCTAAACTTGAATTTCAGATAAACAGTGAATAATTTTTTAGTATATGTCTCTCAAATTGGGCATTCTGTATTTTATCTGGCAACCCTGCTTTCAAACCCCACCCCGTCACGCACACACTGTGCCTTCCTGATGCGGCAGCATCTGAACAACACAAACACCTCTAGTTTGCGGCCCCACGGCATCCATTTGTCATCCTACCCGGTCCATCTCCCCACTGGCCTGCAAGCCCCCGGAGGTCTGAGCCCAGTCCCCAGGCTGGGCCAGGCCAGGACCCTGCTGGGAGTGAGGGGAGGGCAGGGAGGTCCAGCAGGTCTCTTTCATCCCTGCCCCCACACCTGGGAGGGGCATTTCTGGGAACTGATCCCCATGGTGCTCAGGGCCACATGCCTGGGCCTGTTTTCTGGAACGACCAGAACGACCCCTTGTCACTGTGGCCACATCCTCCCTTGGGATATAGCCCTGGGCTTGGTAGGGTCTAGAGGTGGGGCCTGAACTAGTGGGGTGGGCCAAGTCACAGGCAAGGCCCTTGTTCACTGGGCTACAGACCCGGAGCTGTCTGAGACCAGGAGTGGGAACCTGCCCTGATCCCTCAGCACCCTCGTTAGTATGAGAGCCCCCCTCCCCCAGGCCTAAGGAGCCTGGTACCACTCAGGACTGGGCCAACCCCAGGCAGGGGACTTGGATGGGGACCCACATCACCCTGATAGAGGTGGGGGGCCACTCTGAAGTCGGAGCAGAGGCCACTCTAGGGAAAGTGGGGGAGGAGGTGATGAAGCTGAGGGACAGCAGGTTGTGCCTAGTGATGGCATGCCCTCTCAGTTGACTCTGTTAATAATAACACCAAAAACACTAATAACAATGATAACCGTTTATTGAGCACTTACTACATGCTAAACCTCTTTATATGGGTTTTTTTTTCATCTTCAAAATAGGCACCCCTACTACTACCTCTGTTTTACAGATTAGAAAACTGAGGCACAGAGAACTTGAGTGGCTTGTCACATAGCTGGCAAGTGGCAGAGCCATCTGAGCCCAGGCAGTCTGGCTCTAGAGACCACGGTACTCACCACCCAGAGAAGGGCTATTTGCATCAAGAAATGAGCAGAGGGCAGAAGACCCCCCCGGGAGAAAAGGGATCCAGCTCCAGTTCCCTCACCGCGCCCTCCACAGCCACTATTACCTGTCTGACGGCCTGGGGCGGCGCCCTGAGAGCCTACCCCAGCCCACGGCTTTAGCGCCGGATATGGCCAGAAGAGCCAGAACCAGCAGCTGCGTTGGGAAAAGAGAGAAATGGCCATGTAAACGGTGTGAGAACTCTTTCTTTGGTCCCTCAGCAGGAGCAGTTCTGGAAGCAGGACCTCTGCAGCTCGTGTGTCAAGTCCACAGACAGGTGACATTTCCAGATGGATTTTGGAGCCAACGGCCTCTGAGCACAGGCCAACAGCGCCCTCTGGTGTGCATCCTGGGAATGCAGCTGGCTTCGTGAGCCCTCTCCCTCTTGGTCTGACGGATAGGTCAAGGTAGGTCTCTACAAATGTGGCCTTAGCTTGGGTTTAGAATCCATACCCTCACGCCTACCAGGGGAAATTCGATCCTAACCGATCATCAAATACCCAGGTCACAGGCCCAGCTGGCTCAGGTGGAGGGGAAAGAGGCTCTGCCCTCCTATCCCCAGGAAGCCCTATCGCCAGCTTCTGTTCTACATGGCCTATAGGGGTCTTGGGAGCACTGGAGGAGGAGCTTCTGGGAAGGACTGGACTTCCTGATCTTTAAGAACAGGCCTGGAGTTGTGGGTCATCATAATTTGGGGGGACTGAAGGAAAAGCAGCCTCAGGCATAAGCTGGTGAGGTCTCAGACACTGGGTGAGACTCAGCTCTGGGCTGGGGACCCTGGGCCAAGATGTGGTCTGGCCCTCCCCAGAAGGAAGGTGGCAGGGCCCAGCAGGAAATATCCAGGGCAGATTGGCAGAGACCCCGCCCCCAGCAGGCAGTTGGAAGTAACGGGGCCCACTAAGACCTTCTTCCCTGGTTTTACTCAGTCTTCACAAAGCTCTTGGGCTAGGCAGGACCGAAGCCATCTGCCCCATGTCACAGATGTGGAATCCAGGGTCAGGGAGATGACAGGCCCAAGGTCATACGGTAAGACTCGGAGCCAAGCCTCGAAATATGGCCTCCTGACTCCCAAGCCAGTGCTCTGCCCATGGGCCTGACCAGGTACCCTGGGCCCAGGCACCCCAGTAAAGTTTGCCGACCCCCAGCGGGGTTGCACCTGTCCCGGGGCAGAATGCCCTGCCCTCTGGGCCCGGGGAAGCCATGGAGGTAGGGAAGCCTCCCTGGAGGGCACAGGGGCTTCTGGTGTCCAGCAGCTGGCCTGCCACCTTCTCTGGTGGGAGCCAGAGTCTCGGGCTGCAGGCAGCCAGAGAGGCTACGGGTTCTGGGCCAGCGGGCCCAGACTATGGCATCGTCTGGGAGGAGCTGAACGCCTCCATCTCTGCCTCCACTTCTGCCTCTGAGCGGCACCTCTGGGAGCAGAACCACAGGAAGAGGAAGAAACCTGCAAGCAAAAGACTGGTCAGGGGGACACTGGCAGGAGCAACGTGGCTCCCCACCCCGAATCCAGGGATCTCCTCGCTGGGGGTGATCTGAGCTTCCTTGAGGCCCAGGAGTCATTCTTAGGGCCCCTTACTGTTGGAAGCCAGAAGGGGCAGAGCGTAGAAGCTGGAGGACCAGCCACCACTAGGCCAGAAGGTGCCTTTGTGCCAATTAGAAGGACATGCTCCTTCCCATGGGCAGAAGGAGCCCCCAAACCAGCTTGGCAGGGGAGCTGGATTTCGGCCCCTGACTCGCCCCCTTGGCCTGAAGCCCTTCGGGCTAAACATCCACCTGCCGCTGTGCACTCCCCTTGGGGCTTCTTCCACGCCTCCAGCGGGCCCTACCGTACAGCGAGTTGAAGATGGTGAAGAGGAAGAGCTGGGGCAGCAGGAAGACACCAAAGGAGAAGAAAGCCAAGGCCCAGGTGGTGCCCAGCAGCATGGTGAGGCCCAGCACGGTGACGCTATCTCGGCAGGCCCGGGTGCCCGGCGCCTTCTCCTGCGCCCGCAGCCTGCGCACAGCCCGCAGCGCCCAAGCCAGCACCACCAGGTTGAAAAGGGATGTGAGGCCTCCATAGCCCATGACCAAGATGTTGTGCACCCAGGGGCTCCGCACCCAGCATCTGTAGAGGAGGGGTGAAGTTCAGGGTCGGTGTGGCTCCCAAGGCCATGGTGGGGAGGAGATCCTGGTCTCTGGGCCTCTGGATGGGCTCCCGAACCTGGGCCTGTCTCCTGGCCCAGACCCGTTGTTTCTTTTCCGACCACACGTGTGGTGAAGTTCTGGGCCCAGCTTTCCAGCCAGGCCACCACATTAGGCCCCACCTGCCACCTCAGCCTCCTGCCTCAAGCCCCCCAAGCTCTCCTTTCCAGCCACACAGGGCTCTCTCATGCCTCCATGCCTTAACCCACCTGAAAACTCTTCCTCTCCTTTCTACGTCTTACCTCTCTCCCCTTCCACGGCCAGCCAAACTGCCAACTTGTACGATACTGTCAGATCATTGGCCCGGGGGCCCTCTTTCCTCCTCCCACCCGCCACACGGTCATCACCATCCAATCAACATCTCTGTGCAGTGGACCCCTCCCCACCTAGACTGGGCCGACATGCTGGGCTCTGAGCAGCAAACAAGCTGTTGCAAGTCGGGGCAGCCTGGTGGAGGGGCACTCAACGGTGACGTGTGGACCAAGGAGCAGAGAAGAAACAGCAGGAAGATGCCACCGAGGACTGAGGAAAGAGCAGAGGCCTGGCAGTGGCCCCAGCCCTGCTCCTAGACCCTCTCTGAGGGCTTCATGCCCTTTGCTTCCCCAGGACGACCTGCAAGACAGGTGGTACCTTTTACCCACTCAGACACCGTGTTCCATGCTTTCCGTGGATTAGCCCATTCAGTTCTCACGATGACCCCATGAGGCAGGTGCATCACCATCCCCGTCCTGCTGACGAGGAAACTGAGGCTCTGGCTTAGGAACATGCGCTAGTAAGAGGCAAAGGTGGGATTTGAAGTCCCAGGCTCAATGCCTGTGTCCCTGTCACAATCGCCTGCTCGAGCCCCTGCTGCGGCAGCCACCATTCTTGAATGTGATCTTGGGGATTTATCCAAGGGACTGAGTGTGGTCATGGATTATTCCTTTTCACCACAGTGTGGCAGTCCAGCAGGGGTGGCTCTATCGCAATTTACTAACCAGTGTCCCGTCAGCGGGCACTGGAGTACGTTCAAGGGTGGTTTTTTGTTATTGCTTTTTGTGTTCAGGAACACACATCTACATAGGAAGGGTCTTTTAAATGCAGGAGAATAAAAGTCACGAAGCCAGATGAGAGGGAAAGAAGAAGGAAGGAAGAAGCTTTGGGAGAAGCTGGTCCTTAGAGTGGGGAGTGCTCTGACAGCCCAGCAATAATGTCCTTCCTGTCCCCACTGCAGGGCACACAGCACATATTATATTAAAACTCACGGTGAGGGACACCTGGGTGGTTCAGTCAGTTAGGCGTCTGACTTCAGCTCAGGTCATGATCTCGTGGTTCATGAGTTCGATCCCTGTATCAGGCTCTG